GGGGGGGGGGTTGATTTTTTACTCCAAGGACCTATACTCATTGAGTCAGAGACATTCCTTTCAGAGGCTGCATAAAACCAAATGTAAAGATATAAATTGAATTTCTGAATGGATTTGTAAAAACTCAGTATGTAAGACAACAATTTGGAAAGTAAATTAACTTCATATTTTCAAGACCTAACTTTTCTAAATTATATCATTTTTTATGATGCTCAAAGCTTACCTGAAGATCCTAGTTAATAAAAGTAGGCCATATATATAGATTAAAAAGAGAATAAAAAGCCAGGTTGACTACTGCCAAAAGTATATTGGTCATTGCTACATCTGGGAAAAGAAGAAATGAAGCCAGAATGTCCAGGAAGGAAGTGAGGTAGAAAGTAATAAAGTATCACTACTCTACAGGTCACACAGGAAGTAGGATAATCAGTTTCAAGGAACTGCACAGCTTCTGCCAAGCTAGCACCAACCATTCCTGTGACAGAATCAAGCTATCATTTACTGCACTTCACTGCACCTATGAGTTGCATTATCAGTCTACATCACTACTGGCAAAAGGCCTCCTCTCTACCCCTGAGCAACAGATATTCAAGATCCAACATCAATAAAATATTGCCCATGGGTCAAATACAACACACTGTCTGATTTTATAAATAAAATTCTAATGGAACATAGATAGCCATGCCCACACATTTACATCTTTTCCATAGGTAATTTTGTGCTGCAACAGCAGAGTCACTTTGTATGTACTGCAAAGCCTAAAATATTTCTCACTATCTTGAAAAAAATTGACAACCACTGTTCCAGAGAATAAATCTGAATTGAAGATGTGGAGTTTCCTAGACCACTCAATCCAGGCTCCATTTGAATGACATGAATTTCTTTATAAAATAGTGTGACAAGATAGAACTCTACACATTCAAAGATAAGCAATTACTAAGAATGAAAGGGTTTTATATGGAACCAGGGAGATGGAGTGGTAGTATTTGAGAGGGGAAGAAATATAAGCAAAGACAAAGGTGGAAAATATATGTCAGGAAACAGAATGCTCAAGAGTTTCAAGTAGATTACTTATTAAAAAAAAAACAAACTCAGAGATTCAATAAATTAAAGATTAAAAAGTTCCCCTTTAAAAAAATCAAAGAAAAGATATCAAAGATGAATAGAAATAAAAAGTTAGGTGGATGAATACTAAATATAGAAATTGGAATATTCATTATAGGAATAAAAGGCATATTCAGAACAAATAAAGGCTGCTACAAGTACATCCACAGACATCAGAATGGACTTAAGGAAACTTCTCAAAAAGAATGAAAAGAGTCAAATATTTTAAAGTAATTCAGAGAAAAAGCTAATGGAAATGGAAGTCAGATAAAGGTGATACAACAAACATAAAATTGGTGTACCCAGGAAAGAAAATAGAATTAATATAACATAAAATACTAACAGAAGTTTTGCTTATACTCATATTTTCAAATAATAATAATACAGAAGGGTCAACACTGAAAAATACTGGCATAAAGATTCCTAGGGACTTCAAGCAGAGTAGAAAGGGGAAATAAAAAGACTTCCCAGTATACTTAATAACCTCTAAAACAAAACAAAACTAAACAAAACTAAGAGGAAAAAATACTTACTTTCTAATTTTTGTAATCAATTATTTTGTATTCTAATTATAAAGGCCACAGGCAAATATTCTTATGTAAAAGAGATCCAATGATCCCTATTGGGGAGGGAGAGAAACAGGTTACATGATCGTGAACTTTGGCCAACCAAGAGAGAAAACAAAGTAAGTATCTCAGTAATAGAGAAGGCATGTTAAAGGATAGCAGTGAACATTAATTTAAACAAGAAATAAACTTTAAAATCTATATGAATTATGTTTAGGGGAAAATATAAATTAAAATTTAAAAAATAACTGACAAAAATTGGGAATTAAATGGGAGAAGACAGAAAGAAATAAAAGTATGAGGATGTTCTCATCTTTCATATC